CTTGAGCCATATTGTTTTAACTGTCCTGACAGTTTGATTGTACCTGCACCCTGAGTTTTCAAAGAAACCTCAGCCATATTTATATATAACCACAAAATCTAGTTCATTTCAAAACATACTGATCGATGTGAAAGCGCAATCAAATCAGCTTAAGAAAACCATACTTTTTTCCAAGGACAGTCCAAACATGGTAGTAATATTTTCCATAGGTGTAGCCATCAGGGAAGAAAAATTCTTTCGCACTGTAAAGATAAATACAAATAAACTCAGTAACTATGCTCTTAATACATTTCATTGTTATAGACACGTCACTCTCTTTTTTTATAAATATATTCTATTTCGATAACACAACGAGCCAATAAGATATTAAGAAATATATTGATTATAAATTATTTTGAAAAATCATCATCTCATTCTCTGAAAGAAGAATGAGAATTTTTAAATTATTACTTTGAAAACTCTCATTAATTCACTCCAAAGTATAGTGTGAGTATTTGAGTTTTTATTATCGAGCATTTTTATTTTGTCCCATACATTATAGACAACATTACTCTCTAAGTAGACACAATGACATAACTTATAAATTAATCAAATCCACTTTAATATATTATGTATTTTTCCAACGAAATTTTTCGTTGAAAATTTTCGACGAATTTCCAATGAAAAGTATTACCGAAGAAGTTTTTACCGATAGATTTCCTCACAAAAATTTTCGTTGGAAATCCGTCAGGAATACATATTTTCAACGAAATTCTAATTTTTTCCAACGAAAAATTTCTTTGGAAAAAGCTTATTTTTTTGTAGTGTATTTTTCGCTATCAATAACGAGGATGGTTACTATATGATGAGTTCTTGATTTATATGTTAATTATTTTTTTTTGTACTTTAATTCAAAACACACATGCAATGAAACTTAAAGAATCAACCTTTTCTTTTTAAAAAATTAAGTTAGAGATTTTGAACTAGAAATTACAAGACAGGGAGAGGTCTAGTACTTGCTTTTGTTTACTTGTTTTGTTGCTATTTAGTTTTTGTTTTTTCTTATAAATAATTAAGCAAGCAAAAACAAAAACATAAATTCTTGACTTGGAAAAGCTTCTAAATTTATCATATTAATTGGAAAGGAAGCAGAAAATCATATGTAACAATGCTTAGAAAAAAAAATTAAAGAGAACCAAGTTAATAATGAGGTTTAAACTAAAAAGTTAATAAGTTTATTTTATTAATGTACAAATTCTATAAAAGGGGGTCAAAAAACAGAATTTTACTCTTTGTTGTGTATGACAAAAGGTTGAATTCATTGGATTTGCAATGGCCTGCCAGGCCCCCTTACATCTGTAAAATAACATATATAATTAATTAGCTTATAATTATATGTATAAGTAGAATTGTGAATATTTTTCCTTATGTATAGCAGTGGCTTGGACAGTCAAAACTTTTCATACAGATCAATATTGAGCATCTAGACAGGTTTCAAGGAAATCCAGACACGAAAATGTCTACTCGGAATTTCATACAAACTATATGTATATATCAACAGTCGACTAGTTTCCCTGGATTATTTTCCTTGTGTTTTGGTTTTCTCCTTATACCTCTAAGGAATTTGCTCTTCTGGCAAAGTCTCGTTGCTATTGATTATGAGTTTTGATAATTATTTTCAGTTGGTGCTCTCCAATTACTTATTTTTTGTTTAATAAGTTTAATTTTGAAGGATTTCTTGGTATGTTAAACTAAATGTTTTCAACATAAATTTGTAATTTTATCAGTTAGGATTTGTAATTTAAGTTAAGGGCTTTGTATCAAAAACTTTTAATAATTGGAATTTAAATTAAAATAAAAAAAGTGAATATAATAGCATTCACAAATGTATAATATCCATTTAATTACTTTTATATACAGTACATTCTCAAGGGAACACTTCAACTATTAGAGTTTAAGAGTTCATCTTGAAAGTCTCGAATTCATATTATAATATAAACGAGATGAGATTTATGAGATGGAAAGAGAACTACCTCTTATTATATTGTCCAATATCACATTAAAAAATGCTTTTATATATAGTATAAATAAACATTATAATTATAGTGGTTAATTTCTCATGCCTTTCTATAAGTCATACAAATAGATGTTTACCAACTAAAAAGTATTTAGAATATTTCTACTAATAGGACTTTATTTTAACTAGTATAACCTAATTAAAAACACTTAAAACTATGAAAATAAAAAATCTCATAAATATTCAGAAAATAAAAAATAATTATAAAAATAATGAAATACATTTGATAAAATAATATAATCCAAGAGATGTAATTCCATATCATGCTTAAATATGTGCAATTTGTTTTTGTCATGTTACCTAATCTAAGCACAAAATAATAGAAGTAAATAATTTTAAATATGAGGCAAAATATTCTTTTTCTGTACCATAATTAAAGAAAATGCACTATTGTACTATATGCATTTAAATTGCTGATACATGTTGATATTGTCACAGTCACTGCCTCCATCAACGTAAAAGGCATCTCTATTACCAGTGTACAGCAACAAGTTCATTAATTATCATAACTAAATTAGCTTAATTATTCCACAAGCTTATTATTATTCTAATTAATTCTTTTATACACAATTTATTGAATACTTATGATTTCACTTAATATTAATGTACTCGGTGCATCTTAAAATTTGAACACGTTACTTTCCTATGATTGTCAATATATCCTTTTGGGACAAAATTATTAATATTATTCCACTAAATGCATTCAAAAAAACCATAAAAAATTTAAAAGAAAAGTTACACTAATTAACAAAAATAAATACCAAGAATCACAAGAAAAATGAAAGGTCTAGCCCCAACCCCAAGGGCAGTAA